GTCACCTGCTTGTTACCAGGGTTACAGGTTTATTGTCTTATTATGGAACATTCCAGGTGAAGCAACAACATATCCATACTGTAGATGCAAGCAGGTGCAGATCCTCCAAAAGAAAAGTTATGCTGCGTCACTTGAAGTCATTTACTCTTATAATCAAGGGCAGGTTTAATATAAGTGAGAGTTGGTTTCATTTTTCAGTTTGCAAAATGTACAGTTTGTGTCCATTGTCCTTCTAAGATGATTCTTTAGCAGATAACAGCGATGTAGAAGTTTGTAGCAGGTTTCCCTTTGTGGGTTGGTGATGAGATATTTGTGAGGTCATGTCCGTACATTTTTCCATGGAATATTGTCAGTAGAGTCCGGCTGTTAACAGCGCACGAGTAGGGCTCTGTTTGGGATGTGCACTTGTGGTGATAGTCGCTCTTTTTCCATGGTGACTCATTATAAGGCAAGTTTAACTGAAGATGAAGCCAAGTCAGTTCCTTTTGAAAAGTTTTTCAAAGTTTGGTGCACAGTAGAGCCCGACCGATATGGATTTTGCTGTGGCCGATATGAAACTGATATAATGGGAGTAGGAGCTGCCGATAGCCAATATAATCACCGATATATTTAGTGATGTAAAAATTTATTGTTATTCTGACTCTTTACATCATATTTACATACAGTAGATTGGCCTAATGGCATTTTTGCATCACATTCTAGCTACTATTGATGGGTATTCCAGTTTTTTTTTTTTTTTGGAGAACCGGCTCTCACTAAAGCAGCTGGCTCTTTCGGCTCCCAAGCGACTCTTGATTGTTTTGTTGCAAGCAGGACTAAACCAAAACTGAACCAGGACTGAAAAAGGACTAAACCAGGACTAAAACAGATTTAAACCATGTGTAAAACAGGACTAAACCAGAACTGAACCAGGTCTGAGTGTCGGGACTCGGTCTCTATCTCTCTCTCAAGACCAAGATTAGTCCTGCTTTATTCATTTTATGCTGAACTGCAGCCAAATATGCACTTTTTTTTTATCCTATGCACACGCATATTTCTGAAAGTTTCGTTTTCAGCCGCTGCTGCTGTCAAACTACGGGTCTACATGCGGCTTGAAGAGAAAAAGTGAGAAAAAGAAAAAACACGGCTCCCAATAAGAAGCAGGCTCCCGTTGTTTACTTCAAAGAGCCGGCTCTAAGAGCCGCTTCGATCGCGACCGACCCATAACTCCCAGCTAGTAAATAAACTACCGCTATTAGCCTTTAGCCATAAAAACGTGCGCACCGCGGTAATTAATTATATGCATAAATGTGGATCATTCACACGTCTGTTCACAGCTCATTTACATATCAATGCTGGTCCAGTAACAAATATACGGACAATACAGTCACTTTACAATAGACCAATAGAAAACAGCCTGTTTATGTGCGGGAGCTACAGCAGCTAATCGCTAACAGATAACCTAAACTAGCTTCAAAGTCGATGTATTTCCAACACTCACCGCTCACACAGGCTCCTCCTCACATCACAAGTCTGCACTAATAAAAGTCCTTTTAATCCAGACTCAAGACGATTGTTCGTAAAAAGAAAATAATCTCAGTGTTGCGCACGGCTGCGGGTGTAAACAAACACACGTGAGTGAAGTGACGTGACTCTGTGGTGTGTTCAGGGACAGTACGGACACAAATTACACCGCAAATAAATACTGATGCGGAGCCACATATTAGGACATTTATCTGTCTATAAATTGGATTAAATGAACATAATGTAGAGAGTCTAAGCTTTATAACGAGGTATAACATGCCCACGTGAAATATCGGCCCATATCAGCAAGCATATCGGCCGATAGCCGATATGTCTCCAGGTGCCCATATTGGCCGATAATATCGGCCAGCCGATATATCGGTCGGGCTCTAGTGCACAGTGTCTTCACTCACGCCTGCTCAAGCCGACATCTTCAGGTTCTGGCCCTGTCCTGCCACTTCCCCAGTTTAGGCTCCTGGCTCCACTAATGGCATCAATCTGTTGGAGCCAATGAAGCAGCGACAGGAGTAACCCTGTCATTATATCACTGAATACATCTCAGAACGTATAATAAACAAAATGTGAACTAAAATGTGTTCAGCTAATACAACTGAGTTTGGAAAAATATCGGAATAAATGTATATTTTTGTTTATTAAATGGCAAAAATTGGTAGGAACTATTTTGTCTTCTTTTTTTTTTTTTTGTCCAGAAATATTGGTTATGACATGTCCCCACCATCCCTATGCAAACCTACGCCCTTGTTTATAATTCAGCAGGCAACATGATTTTTCAACTTTCTTACTCCTTTTAAAATCTATAAATTAATTTTACCATACAAAAAAACATTTTCTCTGTCTAAAACCATGTTGCCTTGTGATTGCTTGTGTCTGATGATTAAAAAAAAGAAAGAAAAGACTAAAAAAAAACATAATTTGGACACTAAACAAAGACACAGTGCTCTCTGAAGACATGCCTGCTACGCTAACGCCGTGCATTAGCATAAGAAACAGTGGCGCAGGCTCCGGCTCAATCCCACTGTCAAACACGTATTTATGTACAGACAGTAGCACTAAATCAATGCCTGCTAATGATTAAATTGCGTTGTTTACATTTTTTCCCGCACAAACGTTTATGTAAATCAGTTCCCTGTGGATTCCGTTTAGCGTTAGCATGTCTTTCATTATGTCGTTGTATGCGCGGCTATTCATGTTAGCTACAAACAGAGAGTGAAAGGAGACAAGTTTTATTATTTATTATTTACGAAATAATCATCTTTTATCACCTCAAGGACATGTTCTGAACGACAAGTCTGCTTTTTATAGACTAAACACTTGATTTATGTGCAATTTTATTTTAAAGAATTGTGGAAATAGGTTGCTAACAATCAAAATGTTAGATATAGACTATAGACTATTATTAAAAGACAGTATTTCCCAAACTTTTTTCTAAAGACCCATATTTTAAAAGTCACAAACCTTCATGACCCAATAGACATTATTGGTAAATCACAAAATAAAGGTGGATTTGACCATTATTGAACATTAATGAGGATATTTTATTGTTGACTGAGTGATCGTGTCTCTCTGAACAATTAGTATTACTCAAGTTTTAAAAATATAAAAAAACAACAATAAAAGGATCCATAAATCCCCTATTTGGACATTAAATGTAGTTAAATTTTCTTTTCAACATTCAACTGAACCAGCAATATTGGAACAAAATAGTCACTAAAATCATTACAAAAAGATTAGAAATTACACAAAACATGTCTTAACATTTCAACATTTCTATTGAGATAGGTGGGTTTGTCTGTGTTTTTGTTTTGGAGTGCAGGAGGAGAGCGCAGCAGCAGATCAGGCGCAGGATTCAGTCTGTTTCTGTGCTTTGTCTTCATTTTTGTGAGCACAGAAAATCCCAATTCACACAAATATGTAGTAGTGAAAGGAATAACATAAGAATACTAGCACTACTGAGGATATTCTGATGAAATGTTTATCCAGAATGACGATAAAGTCACAGATCAGAACTGTATATCACAGACCTACATGCAGATCATGACAAGGCGACCCCAAAAAAATCTCTTGCGACCCACTTGAGGGTTGCAACCGGATTTTTGGGAAACAATGATATAGGGTGACCAGAATAAAAAAATAAAAAAAACTGGGACATTCTCATTTTTTTGGTGGTTGGTAAAAATGAAATTGTGAAATGAGTGCATAATTAAGGAAATTTGTTAGAGACCATTCATGACTAACATGTGAGTCAGAATAGTCACATTTTCTTGTTTTCTTGTCATTTTTAAGTGACTTTTCTGTAGTTTACCTAAACAGATGACAATGTATCCTTATCTTTATTGTTGGCAGGTCTCAAACTGGTCAAAAATAGGGACATCTGGGACATTTCTTGTATAAAACTTGGACAAATCACTGGTTTTGTATAAATTCGCTGGGACAGGGGACACAGGGTTCAAAACTGGGACTGTCCTCGGTAAATACGGACATTTGGTCACCTTAGGTTCAGCAGGTGTGGACAAAAAGAATCGCACTTCAGTTCTCAAGTAAGGTGACCAGATGTCCCTATTTACCTGGGACAGTCCCAGTTTTGAGCTCTGTGTCCCCTGTCCCAGCAAATTTATACAAAACCAGTGATTTTTCCCAGTTTTATACAAGAAATGTCCCAAGTGTCCCCAATTTGATACATGCCAACAGTAAAGAGAGGCATACATTGTCATTTGTTGAGCTAAAATACGGAAAATCTGCTTAAAAATGACTAAAACATAAAGAAAATGTGACTATACTGACTCACATGTTTGTCATGAATGGGCCAAGTGCAGATTCTCCTCCTTTCTTCTCCTTAATTACACACTCATTTCACAATTTTATTATTTCCAGCCAACTGAAACTGAGAGTGTCCCAGTTTTGGACTTTTTTGAAATTCTGTTCACCCTGTTGTCCAGGTGTTTGGCTCAAGGGCAAAACCTCAATATGCACAATGGGAATCTGACCCTCAACCAAAGGGTTAGGGGTGAACTTGTAGTAGCCTGAAGAGTATCGACTTTTTCACACCATTACTTTTAGATTTGCAATTGAACTATTATTGAATCATTCTTTAGTAAATAATGTTTTCATTTTTGGATTTTTAAAAATGACTATTACTGAATAAAAAGTAATAGTATGATTCAGATTAACTGAGACTATTCAGTTTTCATTTTTGTGATGGTTTTTTTTTTTTCCCAAGTTTTTCTATATACGATTACAGAATAGAATTATAATTAAATATGTTTTTTAAAGGTGCACTATGTAACATTTCTGGTGGGTGGACTTGTTTCTATGGAGATATTATTGCCTGGAATCTGACAAATCCATCTAGCATTTATTTCATTACAACCAGTTTTATTGCCAAAGCAGAAATACCGTAAAAACATAGATTCTTGTTATGAGTGGGATCACCTCAGGAAGAAAAGTTACACAGTGGAGCTTTACATATTTGTGCTTACCTGGATGGCGTTGGTCACGTTCCAGCCTGCCTCCCAAGCTGTTATGGTTGGAGATGGATTCAGAGTTGTTTTTACCGTTACTTGGTTCGTTTTACATCGGACTTGTTTAGAGGCAACTTCTTCTCCTTCTCCTCCGTCTTGAGCTCCTGTCTGTTCCACACTGACCGCTCTGTGGGCTCTGGCGTTGGTTTTGATCGCTCCGCTTGCGTTGTTTTGTACTTGGCAATTCTGAGCGGACCTTTTGGAGTGGCTGAAAGTCGAGGTAAAAGGTGCGTTGCTCAAGGGCAGCCTGGTGTCTTCGCTGTAAACTCGGCTCAGCTCGTCAGATTGAGTGAGAATGAGCGTTTCTTCACTGTCGGAAGTAAATCTAAAGAAATTAAAAGAAAAAATTGAAAAATTAAGAACAATTTTTACACTGAATATGCTTTTTTTTTAACGCAACTGCTCTAATGTCATGTGTACTGTTTGAATTTAGTTGTTTTTCTTAAATGTTATACTAGCAGTTCAGAATTTTTCTTTTTGTATAAATTTTTGAATTACATATAAAAAGATTTTGATTTTGAAATAGGGATGTAACGATCCAAATCTCATGGTACAATATTTTCACGATTTACATCTCACGGCAGAGGTGGGACCAAGTTGTCGTTTTGCAAGTTTCAAGTAAGTCTCAAGTCTTTGACCTCAAGTCCGAGTCAAGTCCGAAGTCAAATACAGGCAAGTTCAAGTCGAGTCTCGAATCACTGGTCCATAAGTCCAAGTCAAGTCCAAGTCGTCTGCTTTGAGCTTCAAGTCATTTAATCCAAAGTATTTTAGATTTTTGCAGTTTATATGAATTTTAAGATGAATAGTACTTAAAAAGTCACAGTATATTTATATATGAGTATTTATAAAGTATACAAGAGTTGTAAAAATGAATCTAGTTAATTTTTCCATTTTAACTGTCTTGACAAGATCTTAGTGTGAATCATTATGGTCAGAACAGAAAGAATTCAGATTTAAAAGTGCTTCTCAAATCTTCTCAAGTCATAGACCTCAAATCCACATCAAGTCCCAAGTCACTGACCTTCAAGTCCAAGTCGAGTCCCAAGTCTTAGTCCATTTTATCAAGTCAAGTCTCAAGTCCTACAATTAGTAACTCAAGTCTGACTCAAGTCCAAGTCACAACTTCCAAGTCCCCACCTCTGATATTTTGTGGAGGCAAAAAAAAAAAAATTGTGAATATGCTACTTATTCCTCTTAAAATGCCTTGACAAGACTTAATCCAAAGAAATAAGACTTAAAAGTGTTTAGAACTGTTATTTCTTCATGTAGTTTGCACCAAAACAGAGCAAAGGATCATGGTCTATGTAGTTCCCTCTGTTTTTTTAGCTATTGCTGCACCATAACAATGAATTTAAGCAAAGAAACTTGTAATTCGATATATTGTGATGATCCATGATGTTATTGAGAGACTTTTGACAATATGATATCGCAATATTTTGCATGTTGTTACACCCCTATTAGCCAATATCTTAATTTCCTTATGTAATATAATATTTAGTAGTTGTATTGTCATTTTGGAATTACTCATTTCTATACAACTAATGTATATACTTTAGTTTTATTTTTAGGTTTTACGACAGATGCTTTTCCCAAATCGCAACCCATACCAGAAACAAAACAAAACAAAACAAGAAAATAATGATATTCGAAGTAAGTAACATTTTAAATTGACACATAATGAGCTGAATACAGAAATACTAAATAAAAATGTCCTTAACTATCAATGGATTTCAGAATGATGAAAGATTAGGACTGTTGCCATAGCAATTAACAACGTAAAACAAAAAAATATATATCTGTTGACTTTGATGACTCTTTATTAACTATAGTATCAATTCAGTATTATTTTTAGCCTACTTTATCACAACAAATACACAAAATATTTCGTACCTTGCTGTCCAGTTAAAGTGCAGCCTCCTCGTGGCCCAGCTCCACGGTGACCCAGGAGAACCCCAGGGCTGCCCCGACCCCCGTGCCCAGTGAAGAGAGCTCATTTTCAGCCTGGACGTGTGCCAGCTCAGCCTCTCTGCTCCGGATCTCCAGCAGCTGTTCAGACGGACACCTCCTGCGTAAAAAGAATGCACCGACTAAATTGTTATTATAAAACGGTGTTGTCCAGGTGAGTGATTGACAGGCCAGTGAGCTGAGACTTTTTAATACGGCCATGGGTTTCTGACTGTGGACAGGTAAATACTGCTAATAGACAGGGAGTCTGAGCCTTTTAGTGCTATAAAAACTTCAGATATTTTGCATTTAAAGTAAAAAATATATATAATTACAGGTGCATTGTGTAACTTTTCTGGCGGAGGCCTCGTCAAACGCTTTTTCTGTGGAGATGTTTTTACTTTGTCTGGAATGTTTCACACTAGGGCTGGGTATCATTAAGAAGCTGGAGATACGATACATACCTCAATACGATACACTTTTTGATACAGTGCACTTTCGATTTGATACGATACATTTCAAATCGATTTGATACAGTTCAGTAGAAAACAAAGGCTAAATCATGGCTGTGACACTAAAAGTCCACTAAGTTTGTGCAAAGTTAATATGAAAAACACCCATTTTACTCAAAACAGTGGAAATGTCAACACGCAATTTTTTGTAGTATTTTTTCCATGGAGACAATCTGGGGGTGTATTAGGGCTAGGTATCGTTAAGAAGTTGCCCATACAATACATACCTCGATACACAGGCCACGATACTATGCGTTTTTTGATACAGTGCACTTTTGATTCAATATGATTCAATACGATATATTTCAAATCAATTTGATACGTTCAGTGAAAAACAAAGGCTAAATCATGTCTGTGATACTAAAAGTCTATTACGTCTGTACAAATTTAATATGAAAAACTCCCATTTTACTCAAAACTGTGAAAATGTCAACACACTGTAATTTTTTGTGTGCAATTCATACCAAAAGTTTAATGCCATACTGTGCAACATTCTAGGAAAAGCAGTATTTTTTCCCATGGAGCCAAGCAAGTGGCGTACTAAAGCTTTCGTTAAGAAGTTGCCAATACGATATATACCTCGACATATAGTCCACAATACAATATGCTTTTCGATACAGTGCACTTTTGATTCAGTACAATTCGATGCGATATATTACAAATCGATTCGATACGGTTCAGTGAAAAACAAAGGCTAAATTATGGCTGTGATACTAAAAGTCCACCAAGTCTGTACAAAGTTAATATGAAAAACACCCATTTTTGTGCAATTCATACCAAAAGTTTAATGCCATACTGTGCAACATTCGAGGAAAAGCAGTATTTTTCCCATGGAGACAAGCAGGTGGTGTCCTAAAGCTGAGTTTCATTAAGAAGTTGGTGATACAATACTTACCTCGATACACAGGCCTCGATACGATACGTTTTTCGATTCAATACAATTTGATACAGTATATTTCAAATCGATTATACAGTTGAGTGAAAAAAAGACTAAATCATGGCTGTGACACTAAAAGTCTGCTAAGTTTGTGCAAATTAATATACACCAATTTTACTCATCAAAACTGTGAAAATGTCGACACAGCTGTAGCTCTTTCTCTTTCTTTCTCTTTCTTGAGTTGTAGTTCACCACTTTTTCACTCTTGGGTTATTATTTGTACCACTACTTTACTTTTACTTGAGTAATATTTTGAAGCAATGTTACTTTAATTTGAGTAAAATCTTTTGGCTGCTCTATCCACCTCTGTTCTTTTGTGGATATTCCTCTTGGATATTCTGCATAAAACTAAACTAAAATAGAACAAAATACCATAAAATGTCTGACATCTGATTAAAGCCTGATTAAACAATACACTAAAGTAAGAGGGATTTTTATTTTATTTTATTTTGGTTGTGTTTATTGCAATGGAATTCACACACAAAAAAACACGTGTCCTTATTGTGAGCGATCTTGAATTTCCACAAACCTGACTCGTATTTGTATTTGGCAAAGTGCAAAAAACACAAATTATTGTCACTTATTGAAGTTACTTGAAGTTATTTGAACAAAAAAACAAAAAACAAAACTATATATGTGTAACTGAGTAATGTAACTGAACCCAAGCACGTTGCATTGTACTAAAAAAGTAACTCAAACCTCCTCATGATTCTCCATTGTTTTTCATTGTGTTCTTGCTGGTCTCTGTGCAGTTCTGGGGCAGTCTGAGCCGGGACAGTAGAGTGTGGTGAGAGGAGAGGGGCAGCAGGAGGAGCTGCACAACAGAACTCCAAACTTCTGTTCCCTCTCTCCCTCCTCCCTCCCTCCCTCTCTTCGTTTCTCTTCGTCTCTCTCAGTATCCAGGTCCTGCACTGTCATCTGAACTACATGTGTGTTTGGGATCCGGTTTGTAAATCGTAAAAGCCGCACAGCTCAGAGGGAGTAATGCAACCCGACGCCTTTTGAAGTGTCTTGTAATGTTGATCTTCAAACGGATCAAGGAGATTTTTCCATTGATTTATATGCTTTATATTTTTTCTTGCTTGTTTGTCTCTTGTTTATATCTTTGAGACTCTTTCACCAATCTGGACGCTTACAACAAACTATAATGTCCAATAGTTTATCATTAATTTTAATTGTTTTTAAAGGTGATTTTCTGATGAGGTGGACTGCTGGAGACGTTATTGCTGTGACATACTGTTCCAAAGTATCCAACTTCCAATCCAATCCAACTTTATTTCTACAGCACATTTTATGAACAAAACAGTTTTCAAAGTGCTTCACATGGCAATGCAAAACATTTTACTTTAAAAAGAAAAAAATTGGCAGAATTATGTTTCAACCAAAAGGAAACTAATGGAATAAATAAATAAAATAATAATAAAGTATCTTCCATTTATTGAACTACAGGTGTTTGGAAAAATATACGTTCTTATGTTATTAGGTTCTTTTTTCAGATCAAGAGTTTGGTTTCATACCAGGCTTTTTTTTCAGAGTCACGTGATGTCGCTCTGACGTGTCCGGTCAGCTGATTTCTACAGGTTTTGGAGCAGTCGAAACTGTCAGGTATGAAAACAAAGTCTTGGTCTCCAAAAAAAAAAAAAACCCTAATAACATAAATTATCGGAAGTCCAAATGAACCTCATTGGTACGCTCTTACTGTGAACGGGCTCGCCTCTTTGTAGATCTGACCTGTAATCTATGAAGACCTGACCTTGGCCTGGTGATGTGACCTGTCGGTCTCCATGGTGATCAAGATTTGTGTTATGGCTATGGTTCAAACTTTCTCTTGAGACCAGCAGGTGGCTAGTCTGATTCATCAGCTGGTTTCACTTTGTAGAAACAGTTTGACCTCACAGCATTGGAATTCGTTCACTCTATGGTAGGCAGGTACTTCTTGTCATTTAACCAGTCGCTGTTATTTGGTAGTCACATATGTAATGCACCACTAACGGGGCTAACTGGTATATTAAGCTTTTCCCAAATCCCGTAGGAAGAAGGGCAATAACGTCTTTCTCCTTGATAAAATTCGTCAAACATTCTCTTTTTGTACTGGCTTTAAATCCTCGATCTCGGGAATCGTTGACAACACAGAAAGTATGGCTCTTCGCTGATTGGCTGGTGCTCAAACTCGCACTTCACACTTGGCAAACCGTCTAGTGTATTTTGATTCCTGACCTAGTACCTGGAGAGAAATGATATTGAGCAGAGGCACTAGGTGGCGCCAGCCTGGCTAACAGGTGGTGGACCATGCACCAGAAAAGTTACATAATTCTCCTTTAGGTCAATAGTTTGATGTGACTGGTCATTTATTATCACAAAGATGGACTTGAGGATGGCACCAGTGTGTCATTACAGACATTTTGAGTTTTTCGGTGTATGGTCATATTGTCTGACTGAAAGTGCAGTAGAAGTTAGATTTGCACTCAGTGAGCAGCCTAAATTCCTCGCGCAGCAGCGGAGCCCTGTGGCCTGCAGCTTCACAGAGGAGAGAGGGAGGGAGAGGAGGGAGGGGGGCAGACTGGAGGAAGAGGAGGAGGAGACGAGCCGCGGAGAGGCAAAGGGGAAACAAAGTTTGGACCCAAAGTTTCGGATGACATTTGGCTCCCACAGGCGCTCCACTGCACTGCGCGCCGCGGACTCTGTTTCCCCGCGGATCCAATGGAGCTCCCACGGCTCGCGCTCCTCACCACGTTGCTATGGCAATGCGTCCACGCGCAGCAGAGAGGTGAGTCCGCGCGTGCCTGATACAGACGCTGATTGATACTGGCGGAGCTGCTCGATAGATCGATACACGGCGCAGCGAGAGTCGTTTACTCAAATGAGCTGGTGTCATTGACTGGGCCAACCTCATCAGGCTAATCAGCTGCAGAGAGAGCGCGCGCGGCTCATGCTGCACACAGACATGGGTTTTACTAGAGCCTTAACCATATAACCATAGGGTTTACCGTGTGTGGACCAGGAGCGCGCCGCTGGACGCTGTGCAACATGTGGTAGTGGTTAGTCGGCGGCTGCTGTTTTCAGAGTCACTCTAAAATGACACCATGTTTGGGCTGCAGAACATTTCTCTCAATGTTTAAGCCCCAACGTGTCATTTTTCTGCCCTTTTCTCCTTTTGGATGTTTTTATATATTAGGAAAAAAGGCTTACATCTCCATGAACCTTTTCATAGTCTTGCAGGTGATGTGCCACCTCCAGAAACGTACATAGTGTTGCTTTGATCACTTTTATCATGCGCAAAAAGTGAAATCCCCCTGAAGACTAATATAAAGTGATGTTGGACTGACCCTCTGCTTCAGTTGTATTTTGGCTTTTCTGTTGAAAGTTTTGGACAAATAATTTTCCATCTCCACATGTGATTACTCTCTGTGCATGAAAGTTTCCTGATGTGGATGTCCTGGGTGGCCTGGACTGTGTGTGTTGGAGAATCCCTCCCATGGAGCACATGCCTTTTAAGTTTAAGTTGCCATTGCTAAGTTGTCATTAGATACACTCACTCTGAATAAATTAATGTAAAGCAAACTATACACACGATGCAAGTCAAGAGCAGTCCTAAGTCAAAATGAAAGATGAGGTACATTGGTTAAAGAGCATGCCACCCCTTTTCTTTTCCCTTTTGTTTAATAACTTTTTTTCCATTTCCCATACTTTTCATTTTATTTAGTTAATCAGTGTACATTCTTTATGTTTCTAATTAAACGTAACACACTTTCTACATTGATCGTTGTATCAAATCGAGATTCAAGTTGTTCCTATGACAGTGATATAGCTTCACTCTTTGGTATGTGCTTTACTGTCTGTGGCCTTGGCTTCTTTAGATCTCCGCATAACCACATGCATTGCTTTAACCTCTGCATACCATTTACTATAGGCATTTCCTGTCAAATCCTCTATGTTTCTTAAGTTTGTTTGTATTTCTTCTCTTTTAATTTGATCTTTTACCAAACCACATCAGTTTTATCACCAATACTTCACTTTCTCGAGAGTCGAAATGAGCAAAGATTGGGTCAGATAAGCCCGTGCGCAGGTTAAGTGTCTGAATACGGTGTCCTCTTTCGTAATTTGAGTGGAATCCATTCACAAATTGTCCCGTGAAATTTTATATTATTAATTACGTGCTGATGCGTGAGGCTCTGACATTGTTAAAAATCAGAATTGGTCAATGACGTCCTCCAGAGAAATGGGGACGGGCAGGTTGGGACAAAATCAATAATACACGGTGCACAGTGGGAGCCAGTGTTATATGTAATAATAGAATTGCCACACTGTGTGATTGTTCAGGATTGGACCAGACTGAAGTTGTGACGAGAGATGATTTGGTTGTTGGAATTACCGGGAGTAGCTACTGGCACATGTCGATATTTTGACTGATAGAATGTGCAGTGTGTTTTGACTTTATATCTTAAAGGGACAGTCGCGAATTTTGGACATGGGACTTAATTTCCTAGTGAGTCAGAGTGTTGGAGGCGTGTGGAGACACTTTTTTAAATATTCCATCCAGTCCTTGCAAAGGTCGCTGGTGCTAGACTAGTGCATGTCAATGGCCTTAGTTAGCCTGACACTAAAAACAGTTTTACCCACTCCACAAAACACTCAAAATAAATCTATTATTACACCAGACTGCCGATGTGAATGTCTGTGTCAATAGAATAATTTCAGAAGTAAAACCAACCTTGCATTTGAAGGATTTATGTCTGAGCAGCAGCAGCGAGTTGTACTTCCTGATACAAAGCTGGGCAGCGGCGGAATGATATATGAGAAAATAGTTCCTCAACATGCGACAATTCATGCGATGCAAAGTTAGTTTTATTTCAAACATTATTCTATCAACGCAGACATTTACATCGACAGTCTGGTGTAATAATGATTTGCTTTGGGTGTTTTGTGGAGTGGCAGGATAACTATGGCCATTGACATGCACTAGCCTAGCACCAGTGACCTCTGCAAACACAAGGACTGGATGGAATATTTTAAAAAGTGTCTCCACACTATTACGTATTCGAGTTGTTTATGTTGTGGATGCAGTGTTCATCCACACTAATCCGATGGAAAACGGCTCCAGAGACAGAACGATCTGATGCCGCCAGCTCCCACGAATTCATCTGAGTGCAGATCTGATCTGGCACTGTGTGGACGCCTAAAAACGTTGATACGCTGATGTAGGTCTGTGCGCCGTGAAGTAATTCACCGCCAAAATGCTAAGAATTTAGGATATATGCCCATTCATATATACAGTCTGTGCGTACGACCTACAATAGAAGGTAAGGTAAGGTAGACGGCAATAGAAGCACAGAACAGACTCACCATCAGCAGAACACCCCTCTGTCACAGAAAGAACACATATAATCCACTAAATCATGTCCTTTAGTCCAACAGAAGCTGAACCGCATCAGAACACCATAGAGAGCTGTTTTTTGAGCATTTAGTTTGTGGAAATTAGCCATGTGGTTTTAAGTTTCGTGTCTGTAAAATGTAAACAAATATGCTCAAAGCTGTGTGGATAAGGAAGGCTTGTGGACCCAGAAATGACGTGTCTGGACGCAAATCGTTTATGATACAGTGATACAGTGATAAGGTGATTTGTTTCAGTGTAAACATAGTCTTTGTCCAAAATTCTGTCCCTTTAATTATTTATTTTACACATAAACTTTTTTTTTCACCCTCTCTTAACTGCATTCCAAATACCTCTTGGTAAGTGCTTGTGTGGCTGGAAAACATTGATAAATAAATGATAATTACACCAACTCAAATAGTGATTTAGATTCTATTGTGATAAATTGAGCAGTCCTCTTCAGCAGTTCATATTTAGTCTTCTCTCAGATGTACTCTGAATTTTACTGAATCTCAAAAAGGCAATTTAAGACATTAATTTCACCTTAAAACCCCGCACCAGATTTGACTCCTCGTCCTCTCCTGTTGCCGTTTTCACTCCCCGTCACCCTGTCCAAACCACTCTCTCGCCACTGTCACCCTAGACAACCTCTCTCGCCCTATCTGCCCCCTCTCCTCCTCTCCGCTCTCCTCCAGGCCTGAAAACACCTCTTCACCACCCTCTTTCATCTCCTCCCTCTCTCATCTGCTCTTCCTCCATCTCGATCTGATTATCTTGTCCTTCTCCGTAAGTGTGTGTGTGCCAGTGTGTGTGTGTGTAAGCGATGGGGCACGGCTGGTTGACACTGGCGTAATGAGGATGCTAACCCAGATGGCCTCTCCAACACAGATATCAAGTATGCAGGATCAGTGAAGGAGCCAGGGCCCCCTCCCCCCCGTGTTCTGAAGAGAGGCCGAGGAGACTGGAAATAAAGGTCAAATGTTTCCTGTCTACGTCTTATATGTGTTGACGAACTTCGTGTCATTAAAGCCTATGCATATTTTCGGTCTTCGTCTATAGGTCTCAGCTCTGATACAGTATTTTTACACGATTTCTCATCTCTGTTGTGATGTGGTTTCTTAGACTTAGACACAGGCTACGTTCAGACTGCAGCGTGAAGTGACCCAAATCAGATTTTTTCACCCCATGCGACCTGTATCTGATCTTTTAATGACAGTCTGAACTAGTGATGGGCATTCGATGAAATTTTCTTAATCAAATTAACGGTCGATTATCGATTAATCATTAACGTTTTTATATTAAAATGATCATCATTATTATTACTATCTACACTATTAATCTGCATAAATAAATTCAACTTTACGACATATAAACCGTAACCACTCTAGAGCCACATCAGCCCGTTTGACATTATAATGTGTTTAATGCAGTTTTGCTCAACTCTCACAGAAACGAAACTTAAAACCGCATCAATAATTTGCATAAACTAAGAGAAGATAAAAAAGCTCTTGTGTGCTGATGTGGTTCAACTTCTGTTGGATTAAAAGACATGACTCAGTGGAATACAGGTTAGTGTGACCATATTTGCGTTTGTCAAAACCAAGACACCGTACGGGGGGTGGGAGGTGGGGACTCGTCATCGACATTGCGCGACTCTCACCTGGCAAAGCTTTTTCCCACTGGACACCGAAACATATATGCTGCTTTGTACACTGTGCACATGGACTCACACTTGTCCCAACCGGAACAGAAAGCGTTGAATTCTTGTACAAGTCATTGTTAAATATGCATTTGCGTTTCGGCATGTTGCAGACTGACCGACTGTTTGTGTCTCGCTCCTTCTGAGTGCAGAGAGCTACATGTACCGGACCCTGTTTGGTCACGCTACACACAGCAACCTACATTAGGTTTGTCGATTAAAATTAACATAATCGATGAAATTCTTAATGATCAATTATCAATTAATCAACTAATCACTAATCGACTAATCAACTTTTTGTGTGATGGTTTGAGTCTTCCTCTGTCTTTTGAGTGCGACCGCAGGAGCCTTTGTCAGTGCAGAACGTTTCGTCGACATTGTGGGTTTTGTCGGGGAGAAAACTCGCAAACATACAGCACTTCAGAATCACACTGCTAGAGATCCAACATTTATGTAAATTTGACAAGATGAATGCATTCTGTACTGTACAGGAGACACGGCACGGAGAAGACTGATTGACAATGGTCTACAGTTCCTTAGCCAATCAGGACAGAGGCGGAGGAACACAATGCACGTTTATACGCTATGAAAAAAAAAGCATGCAAAACAACGAGGCAGCGAAAGGTGACCCACAATATAGTGAGGGACAACTGTATACTGAAGTATTAATACACCGTACCACCTTAAGTGAAAACGC